TTTTTTTTTTTTATGTGGAGAGTGCACACCCGGGTGTTGGATCCAGGTGTGCACCAATCATGGTCCTATTATTTAATATCATAAATTATTGCAAAAAGTTACATCTTGTAACAACCTTTAGTCATCTTTAAAACTAGTATTTTACAGCAATAATAATCATTGTTAAAAGTGACATTAAACACCTTTAGAGATGATTAAAATGAATGTATACAACAACAAAAGTTATGAAAACGGTATTTTACAATGATTTCAAACATTACAAAAAAGAATAATATAAAATAGTAGTCAGAAAGATGTTTATTAAACTTATATTAAGTAAAAAGATAATTAAAGAGATAATACATAACACGAATTACATATTACAAGAAACTTTAATTGAGAATTCTAGTCCAAGCATAACATCTTCTACCTTCACTAAGAATTCTATTAAGAATTTTAGTCCATCACCATAATGAGTAATAGCTTCAACACTCAACTACCTTCCACTAGCCGATTTATTCTCACACACCAAAATAGGTGCCAAGGCAACATCTTTGAAATGAATAGGTCCCTTGAAAAAATTCTCATATGGGTCAACATAGCCTAAAACAATTTGGAGAAACTCATTCTAGAATCCAAGATCAGGGAATCATCCAACTTACATGATTCAACAAAACCTCAATGCCCAAAATAGAGTAACATAACAATAATCTCATCATTTTCTACTAATTCTCCTGCTAGGCAAGATAACATACACTTAATTGACCAAAAACTTCAAATACATGAGGTGCATGCCAAGAATGAAGGTGTAGATAAACTCTGACCATGTGAATCAAAGGGGAGAGATGGCTAAAGCTATATCGAGTATGTAGATTACTTGAGGAAATTAAGGTCTATACGACCTAATCAAGAACTTGTGCTGGGTTGGTTCTAGATGAAAGGAATTGCGCTAGCAAAAATAGATCCTTAGTTTGCCACTTAATCCATTGTGCACACAATATCCATGAAAATAGCCAGCTAATTTTGTGTGTTTCAATAGAAACATTATGCAATTAAAGTAAATTCCTAACATGTATCCAAAAATTTGAAAGACTAAGACTAGAAAAAGATGCAAGGCACGTGAAATTAAAATACAACAATTCAAAAATTGGAATACAACATATGATCCCCAAGAATAGTTTCAATCCATTTTCAAAAGTAAGACTCAGAAAAACTCACTGCAACAAGTCTCAATTAAGCAAATAAACACCAAGCTGAAAAAACAATTACAAACCCAATAGAGCAAACAGGCAAATTCAAATTCCACGTAGAACAAGACTAAATAGGGAGTCAAAATTAAGGAAACTCAATGTTGGGTCGGTCCTTAACAGACAACTAATGAATTTAATAGGGAGTCAAACAGCCATTGAATACCATTAAGGACAAAGCAAAAAATGCCATATGAAAACTAATACCATCAAATCAAATCATCAACCATGAATTTCTAGGTCCAAAAACTGGTTAAAATAAAATACAATTAGATAAAGAACTAAACTTGAGGAGACCCAATGTCGGGTCGGTCCTTCAAACTCAGATTTAAGCTTTATTCCATACAAAATCTAAAGAAATATCTGAAATTGAACAAGAATCATTTTTGTACTACAATCTGAAAGCGAGATTACAGATGAAATCTTTTTCCAATTCGAGCTTCAAGATGCTTGATTACAAGTCACTAGCTGATTCCAAAAAAACTCACTTTTACCCTCTACTGATTTCTTTCTTCCTTTTTTTTTTTTCTCTCGGATGACCTCCTTTTTTTGTCCATTGTTCTCCTCTAGAATTCTCCCTCAAAAATTTCAGATCTGAGATCTCAAGGAGCCCCCCAAAACCCTCAAATGTTTACCTTTTATACACAAATCCCACACAAGCCTTGGCTAGGGTACCTTCCGCAAATTGTAAACTGTAGTTAAGAATATATTAATTGTATTTTTATTAATAATTTGTATAAAAAATAAAAATTTATTTTTATTTTATTAATTATTTAATTAAATTATTTTATATAAATTAATTAAAAAATATTTTACAATTTAAATTATATCAAATTACAAAATAACAAAGTTATTTTTAATAATAAAAGTTGATATCATGCAATTGTACCAAACTTTCTTTGCTCTAGAATGGAGAACCATTGGCCCCCTTCACGACGCAAAGAGGGCTAAGGTAGGATGACTCTCTCTCCCCATGTCTTTTCGTATATGTTTATACCATTCAACTAAGTCTAAATCTAAATTTGTTCTAAAAATTAATACATGCTTTATTAATTAATCATAAAACAAAGTGTCAAAGGTAATCTTTCGAAAGAGAGGGAAAAAAAAACTCTGAATGCAGCACGTGTTGATTCGTTATGTTCATAATATATGTCCCTAGTTACACTGGCAAAATGAATATTCTCTTCAAAGACGGGCCAACATAGGATAAGTGGGGTAGCCGCCCCCCTAAACTTTTAAAAAATGTTTAATATGGTACAAATATTTTTTTTACAAAATTTTATTTTTGAAATTTGAATTATAAGAACTATTCAAATCTAAAGAAAATGTTGATGACTTAGCTAAAGGGATTATTTGTGACTAACACTTATAAAGACACAATAATTCTATCTAGGTAAGCACAAATATATAAAAAAAGAAAAAAAGTTTAGATCTAATTATATTAATTATGAATTAATTTTTTTGAAATAACCAGTAGTTGATAGTTAATATCTGATGATTAATAATTATTGATATTTGTTAACAATAAAGGCACAATAATTCTATCTAGGGTTTTAATTGACTCTTTTTACTAAATAAAATGCCTAAATTAATATATATTTACTTATTCAATATCATATAAATATTCCATAATCTTCTGTTGCACCATATCTTAACAATCTTTGAAGACTGGAGCAATCCCCTACTAGAAAATAGGTTTTAATCAACAAAAAATTTTATTGGTTATACAAGAAATTTTGTTAATTATACCCATAACTGACAGACATAATTAATAGTAAAAATTACCGAATAAATGTATGTTGAAAATAAGTGTAATTGACAAAAAAAAAATTTCTATTGATTATAGTAGCTTTAACCAACAAAAATTTTGTCGATTAA